TCAGCAGCAGCATCCTTTAATTTTGTCAGATAGTGGAGAAGGTCGACGAGGGAAGGAGCTGGACGGATGGATCACGATCACGACGACTGGGTGCAGTTGACGGTGCCGCAGCCGCAGGTGTGGGGGGTGAAGGCGCAGGTGCCGAAGGGCTTGCTGGGGAGGTCGCAGTCGATGGCGTAGCAGCAGCTGGTGTCCACGCAGCTGCTCGTGTTGGACGACGAGCAGCACCGGCACCCTTGGCACAGCTCGAACGGCTCGTACGACACCGCCGTCGTCGCCGCTGGCGGCTCGGACGACGATGGCCGGTACACCACGCTTTTCACCGGAACGTACTCCTCTGCTGATGCTGATGCTGATGGTCTTCTGCTGGACTGCTTGCTGCCGCTGCCTCCTGCTTGTTTACGTTTACTCAGGAGTCAGGGCAGGGGATTAGAACTGAATCAAGAACACATTATACATGCATGATGATCCAAGCGAATCCATGAAGCCATGAATGAGCTAGCGATCTGCTTGTTTAAATTTTTAATAAATCTACTGTAGGGGTGCGAACCCCTCCAGTTTCCATCAAAATGGACAAACGGCGGCCACCAGATGGACAGTCGATTGGTTGTATGCATAACTCATGCAGAGACCGAAATAAAATTCCTTAAAAAAAAACAGATGGACAGTCGATTGGTACGAACCTTGAGCTTGGAGGGAGAGGGATAGGAGGAGGAGCAGGATGATGGGAGCACCACGATTAGCCATGGCAAATGGGTTTGCTTTGCTTTGGCGAGGGAAGCTAGGAAGAAATTGAGGCCGGGGCTAAACGCACTGCCAGTACTAAAATGGTTTGGCCGAGCAACATGTTGCGTGAAGTGAAGGCTCACTGTATTCCCATGATGTGTCTTTAGACTCTGAAGATACCGAAGCTATGTGTGAAAGTTGAGTGCTCTAGGAAGGAAGCGTCTGGAACTGCAAAATTCTTCTTCAGAGGTTTCTTATATTGGAAAAAGGTTCGAGAGCTGAAGAAATCTGTGCAGCCGCTGAGCAATCGACACCGACCGAACAAATGTTGTGCGTGCCAGTTCATGAAAACGACTGACATTTCTCTGTCAAATAAAGGGAATATGGACTAATATTGGACTACTTTTTTCACACTTACGCATTAGTACATGTCACTAGCAGTGACACGACACCCCTACCAAACCAAACGCGCCCAAAAGACAAAAAAAAACATCCAAGGAGCACAGAAATAGAGAGCGAGATAACCCAAAGCAGCGTCTGCAAGACCATCGTCGTCAGACCATTGTATTTGAACGAACACGTATAGATTGTGTCACTAGCTTAGTATACCACACGGATTATATATTGTACTTATATAAATAAATTAGAAAGCACATTATTATATCCTTTTCCGTCCACATCGTTGCTCTATTCCTGTGAGTCACGGATTGTGACATAGTTTTTCTCGAATACACATGAGCATGCATATCATTGCATTAAGAAGATAGAAGTGTCAAATATACAAGAGTTTCGTCTGCTTTATTAATTATAATTAATTTCTCTAGACAAACTCTTCATGCAAGCGGTAGAGTCTTACCGCCTGTGACCGAAAAGTCCTAGATTCGAGTCGCGGTCTCCTCGCATTGCACCGACGAGGGTAAGGCTTTCCCACTGACACCTTTTCCCAGACCCCGCACAGAGCGGAAGATCTCTGCACTGGGTACGTCCTTTTTTTAAAAAAAAAACTCTTTGGTCAAATATAATAATATATATTTGTATACAAACGGAGCATAACTGGATTAGCTGATTGGGTTACTTATAGTAGAACGTGCCCACCCGCCGGTATTTAACGATGTTGTAGGCGACGTGCGCAATTCTTAGACTTCCCAAATCTAAGATTTAACTGTGGTATCTACTATACCTAAATAAGAGAAGCCAACTAGAGGATTTTCCTACAATTTCGTGAAGCTACGTCATCTAGATACACTTCTACCTACCTTGAGTAATCATCTCCGTCACCCTCTTTAGCTTCCACCAGGCTATTGGTAACTGATGATAGTGCGAAAAAACAGTGCCACCAGCCCACCGTACCACTAGGCCATCAAGAGTCCTTTTGTCTTGGTACCTGATGCGACAAAGCTGAAACGCATATGGCCTTTTAGCCTTCCCACGCTATATGCCTTATATATCGATCTCTCCATAGGCGGGCAGGGGGCAGATCCTCCCTCGGTGGTCGATGATGGTGGCCTCCTGCGGGCGAACAGCAGCGGTGACCCCCACGAAGCGAGCCGGGCCGCAGGTGCAGAGGCGCGGCAAGTTGCAGGTGCACGCAGCGGCCACCATGCAGCGAGCGATGGAGAAGGACATGGCGGGATCGTGGGTGGCGACGCGTGCGGGAGGCGCATAGGTCCGAAGCATGTCTGTTCGGTGGCGGGTGGAGGAAACTTCATCTATGCAGATGAAGGTGTCGACGGTGCGGGCGAACGCGAGGTGGCAGACACAGCGTCGGTGGAGAACGACAAAACACCGAACGAGAGAGCCTAACCCAATCTCATCATTCTTTTGTTGCTAAGGCCCAATCTCAGCATTGTGTTGCTTGCGAGCACCTGAGAAGCTCACAATTTTACACGCGTTTGGTTGGATGCCTTCATCTTTGTATATACATCCATTTATTAGGAGAGGAAAACACTGCCGAGGGGGGGCAGTGTTTTATCGAGATATACATCCATTTATAGAGAATTAGAGATATACACTGTTTTATCGGATCTAAAAAATATTCTAAGACGAGGGTACTTAATTCTACATGAAGACCGGTGTAATACTCAATTTAATAGTTTCTCAATATGACATGTTCTCTCCTATCTATGTAATGCTATAAATTTTCCGCAGCAACGTGCAGGGTATCATCTAGTTCTTTCACAGGGAGATGGCATGCCCAAATCTTAGTTTTTCAAGAGTATCTGTGTCTGTGTCCATACCGCGAAATTCGCAAAAATTAATCATGATAATATACATAGTTCCCTTCGTTATCAAATTCAGCCTGGGAAAACAGACGCTTAATATAATTCGGCAAGGTCTAACGTACATGGTACGTCTGTTTTTTTTTGGGTAATGTGAATGTGATTGCGTTGCGATCGAGATGGCAGCCAGCAGCGGCGACGACGTACTACGCCTTGAGAGGGCACTGAAGATTTTTTTTCCCTCGGCCCATTCTGCCAGGTACAATCCCAGACCAGACGCATACTTTTGGAGATCCAACTTGTGAGGGCCTCCTCCGATCCGGTCGCAGCGAACGGGAGAGAAAGAGAGGCCAACGGGTATGCGGATTTTAGAGGTACATATGGGCCAGATGTGGCTGGTTTGGTCATCCAGATTTAGAGTCTGAGATCTATTTCCTTTTATTTAATTTGATTTCATTTGAAAAAAAGAAAAGCTTCCAAAGCAACTGGGCTAGTGGGTTTTGAGAAATATGTACGAATCGAAACTTCTACACATTTGGATTCGACAGGAATGGATCAGATGCTGAGCCACTTTTTCTGGTGCATTGCGTTCCTTGAGCTTCTTATAAGCCGTTGCCTGTTGTGTCTGACATGGAGGGCACTCTTCGATACACTATCTAGAGCAACTTCAGGAGTCTCTGGTAGAGCATCTCCAAGAGACTCTTCGTATCCTTTCTAAATGTTAGAAATAGAGATTTTGATGAAAAACTACCATCCAACAGCTTATCTAAATGGTCATCCAAATATAGTCATCTTCTATTCTGGGTTTTTCGCTAGCAAAAAATAGAAGACGAGAATGGCTCTCTAGAGTGCGCATGTGATATAGAAAAACTGTTGGAGAGTGAAAAGATATAGAAAACGATTTTTATGCAAATGACTCTCTAAATGATATTTAGAGAGTGAGATTTAAAAAAACTCTTGGAGATGCTCTTATCTTTATATCTTTGCTTGGAGAGCCATTTAATAAACATTCTCTTTGTATATGAGTATATCTCTCGTCTTCAATTCACTTCTCAACTTTTATCCTCTGTATATATACTCCGATAGAAGTCGAGAGCGAGAATGGTGGTTTTGGAGAGCGAAAAAGTGGACAGTAGTCTAGAGAGTCTATTGAAGCATGTTTTTATTTGTTTTTTAAATTTTGTGATATATAGAGAGCCCTCATAAGATGCTCTTAGATACTGCCTTGGAAACATCGAAGAGAAGTTCTATAAACTTTTGTAAAAATGGCTTGCAATTTTTCTTTGCCAGTATATAGAAAAAGCACGGACCGTTACACAAGGGTATATATAGGCTAATAAAGGATGAAGTGATATCATTAGATTTTGTTTTTGGAAATGTTCTATTTTTTGGTTAAATATTTAAAATTGTTGAGTTCTACTTCACTCATAAGCTTTTGTGAGGCTTAACTAATAAAACGGCCAATGATATATTTTCTGAAACAATTCTCAGTGAACTCAAATTAATTTACTCATGCACGATTGGTTTAGGTCGGCTTCCATATTTTCCATCTTTATCAAGTTCACAACAGATATATAGGATATTTACCATTTTTGTTGCAGTCAAATTTCCATCAATTTCGTACACGTAATTAAAATTGAGTATGTGTCCTGTGATTTATTTTGATTTTAATAAAATTTAAAATAGACCAAGTCCAGATAAAATCCAACAGATTAAAAGAGGAGCAAAGACCCATGCAAGTTCGTTTGTCATGTCCCATAGATCACCAAATATTTTGTCCCCTACGCTTTGTATCGAAGATATCATATTGTAAAAAAACTTTCATATCCAAACCTTCATCCCCCTACTCATTGTAAATGAAGCTAAGATACCTAAACCAATTGTATGAAGGATTTTTGTAGCTATATATCTAGCTGAAGTTTCCCTCTAAGCAGCCGACTACTACCTAAATTGCATCTCCCGTGCCAATCTCATCTGAATGCCGATGTGCGTTCGTCAGGTCCCTGCATATACTTGTTTCTGTATGTAAGTCCTCGCCTCCTCGGCACCCAGAGTTCAGGACAAGGCTCCTCCTGCCAGCATGACCAAGACGGCGGCACCGAGAAGCACGACGACGGAGCGCGACGTCGACGGTGTAGCAGCGGCGGCGCCAACCTGCTGGTCACCGCTGGCGTATGCCATGGTGCCATTGATAAGCGGCAGGTCTCCAGGTGCGCCTGAGTTCGGGCTGGAGGACTTTACGCTGCATGCAGTCGTCACAACATCATCAGCGTTGACATCAGCGGCGGCGGACGACGATGTGACGACGACCCGTAGGTCGGCGGGGCACGCGGCGTTGAGGTCGACCAGGCACCCCGTGGGCGCGCAGTTGCCGGCGCCGGGGGACGCGCCGGACGGCGCCACCAGCAGCGGGAGGTTGGACCCGTCCACCAGGCTCACGTCGTAGAAGTCCATGCCGCCGCCGCTGCCGTCCAGCGTGAACTCCGCCAGCGTCGCCGGCGGCGCGGCGTTGCCGCCGCCGCAGGACACGGCGCCCGAGCCGCAGTCGCCCGTGGCGCACGCGAACTTGTTGGTGGTGCCGTCGGTGGTGCAGAGGGTGCGGCCCCAGAGGCGGCCCGACCATCCCGCCGGCGCCTGCAGGGTTTGCGACGCGCCCGGCGGGAGCTCGAAGCCCGTGGTTTCCAGCGACGGCGAGCCCGCGCCGGAGAGGATCCCTGGCCATACCGTGTACCCGCAGTTGTTGGTGATGGTGAACGACTTCGACAAAACACCTGATTAGTAGAGTAATTTTATTAGCAGTTGCAGATCAAAGTCAAACCAAACACGACCGGCACAGTGCATGGCAACAAATTCGATCGACCGATCGATCAGGACATGCACGCATGATTTATAAGAACAAACAGCTGCTTACCACTAACCGACACGGCGAGGACGGCCAAGAACAGATGAAGAGATCGGCAAGCCGTCGCCGCCGCCGCCATTATGGTCGTCGGGCGACGAGAGCCGTACGTTGGCGACCGCGGTGCTGCCGAGACCGGCGGGGAGAATCGTGAGGGGTTTGGCAATGGTTATTCGACCACGACGGCATGCAGCGCCACGACGAGCTCTATATTTATACGCGCGCGCGCGCCAAATTTTCCGAGGTTACTGTGTGGTTCGAGATATGGTTCTTAATTTATTGTTTTTTCTATATTTATTTTTTTTGTTTCGATCCATGTTTCCAAATACGTACCTGTAGGTACGTGTGTGTATTCTACTCTTCTGTTCGTTTCTTTAAAGAAAAGGGTAGGAGCTGTCAGCTGTGTGGTTCAATTATGGTAGGAAACATTGTCATTGTTTAGATTGTAAGTTTTTTCACTCTCTCTTCGTCACATCAAATTTTTGGACACGTGCATGGAGTATTAAATGTAGATAAAAAAATAACTAATTACACAGTTTGATTGTAAATTACGAGACGAATCTTTTGAGCCTAGTTAGGCTATGATTGGACAATAATTGTCAAATACAAACGAAAGTGCTACAGTGCCAAATACTGATTCATAACCCTAATGTAAACAGGGCCATTGTTGTTATTCTTCTGTTCGGTTTTTTTAAGGAAGGACACAAGAGCTCTCTGTCATTTAATTAAGGAAAGAAGTATTGTTGCTGTGTTTCTGTTCGTTTTTTTAAGAAAAGATCAGGAGCCCTGACGTTCAAGTAAGGTAGGAAACATTATTGTTTATCTATCATCGTTTTCTTTAAAGAAAAGATCAGGAGCCCTGTTCGCTTCGCTTATAAGCCGTAGTTTTTCAGCCACCGAACAATATTTTTCTTTCACAATAAATCAGCCAACAATACTTTCAGCCATGGCTTATCAGCCAAGCGAACATGGCACGATGTCGCAATTATATGTTTGGGCGCGGTTTGGTATGTGATCCATACGTACACATCTTGATTCTGTTAGTTTGATCTCCACCAATTGGCCCAATTAGGCCCTTGGATCAACGCCCTGATCAGGGGCATCCAACCAGTCCATGGTTGGCGAGGCCCCATCGCACAGCACCATAAAAGAGAAGTTGTGGCCGGGGCACGAGGTATGAGGTTGACATGAGCCGCCGCAACCCTCAGACAGAGAAACCCTAACGCTATCCGATCAAGAGAGACGGTGCTGCCAGCGTCGGGAAGCCGCCACCGACTTCACCGTAACCTCCAACATCGTCGCCGGTGCCACTGCTACTCCTACACCAACGCGAGAGGACTCGGACAAGATTCACTCTAGGTAACAATGAGCAAGTTATTTTCAGTTAAGTTAAACACCCACTGGATTGACACCTAGAGATCTTTAAATAGTCTATCAATGGTATCAAGAGCCACGCTAGGGTGTAGATCTAAGTCTTTGGGTAGAAAAGAAGAACGAATTTAGAAGGAGATGAACAGTTTTTCAAATTCCCCTAATCCTAACTCTAACCTAGATCAGAGACGGCGGGATTTTACCTTGCCATCACCGCCGGTTTTCTGCCGCAGGATAGAAACCACGACGGCTCGCCGGATCTGGACCGATGGCCGCCGGTAGCAAGAACGAACCCTAACCTCAGATCACAGAAACAGAAGTAACCCTAACCGGCAAGAGGACGGCGTGAAGAGGGGGACCTACCCGGGTTTCTCTTGTCGGCGTTGCCACTGCCGTCGTGCGGGAAGGTGACCCCGTCACCGCGCGGAATCCACCCGAGCTGTCCCGGCTTGCCGACGTTCCGCTGTGCCGCGCGCGCGCTCAGGGCACCACCGCAAGGCCGCTCAACGGCGACGTGCTCAGCCTTGGGTGAGCGCGCGTCGGTGAGGGGCCCCGCAACGGCGCCGCTACCTTCTTTTTCTCCAGCCACCACGGGTTGCCGTCGCGTCGTGGTCATCTCTAACTGCGGCGCTGAGGAAGAGAAGGGGAAAGGGATGAGAAAGAAAGAGGAGGAAGGGGAGCCAGACTTGGTCTGGTGGCTGTCTTCCTCATAGGCGCCGATAGTCACCGTGGCCGCCGCCGCTGACGCCTGCTCGACGCGAGAGACTGAAGAGAGAGAGGCAGGAGACGGAAATGAGATTAGGGTTTTGGGGATGAGCCGCGGCCGGGTTTTGTTCTCACGATATTGACGCCTGGCCGTCGGATGGAAACCAGCGGTCGAGATCATCTGGACCGTCAGCTGGCCCAGGCGGAGCGGTGCAGCAGCGCGCGCTGTGGGCCGAATTCCCGACCCAAGCCCAGGTTGTGGCCTGGGCGCGGGGGAGGGCGGCTCGCACGATCGGCGTTGGCCGTTTTCGCTGAATGGGCCGCGCGCTGCTGCGCTGTAGAGTTGGGCCGCGTACTGTTTTTCCAGAGGCCGGGCCAAATGAACAGTTGCTAATGTTTTAAGCTTTTATTTATTTTCCAGAAGCAGTTTTGACAATTTCAGAAGCAAATTTCGATGAATTTTTGTCAAGTTTTGAATCTCTGTCAAAATTTGAACCAACGGGATAATTTTTTCAGAGAGTAGATGAGTAAAGTAAAATGCTTCTGAAAAGTAGATAAAGAATTTTTCATGTTTCCACAGCAAAGTTTAATGTTGATTATCTTCTAATTAAATTCGAACCAACGGGAGAATTTGATTTGAAGAACAGTTATATTTAGTAAATTATGATTATGTTGATCCTCTAATTAAATTGGAACCAACGGAAAAATTTAATTAGAGAAGTAGTCTGTTTTTTTTATTAAGTAAGATTATGGTATTGTCATTTTCTGACCAACGTTGATGACGACAATATTATAATGAATTTAAGTTTGAAGTTTAAATCTCTCATAAATTTTACACCAACGTGGTCAATTTTCAGAGAGTAGTTAAGGACCACGAAATGCTCCTGAACTAAAAGAATATATTTCATTTAGTTTTCACTACAATGAAGTTGATTATCTTCTAATTAAATTTGAACCAACGGAAGAATTTAATTTTGAAGAGTAGTTATATGTATTTCAAGTTGATTTATGAGTTCTATGCATTAATTCTATTTTCTGCCCAACGGTGATGTAGAATTAATGCAAAAGCACCTTGTATGTTTTAATTTAACGAGATCACTCGGCTGCATACCAACGGGCTGCAATGCTAGGGTATGTAAATGAAAAGGCTTGAGTCAAGCCAGTTCAGGATAATTTTTGTTAGTTTACTAATTTTCTGATTAAATTGGAACCAACGGGAAGATTTATTTGGAAAGTGAAGTATAAGTGAATGTTTTAGTCGTTATGACTAATTTTTCGTATCGACGTATCCCGCATGGGGAAAAGTTTTGGCATAGTATTTATGCTAGTCAATTCTGCATGGTGGGAAAAGTTTTGTGATGATTCACATGTTTTGTATCCCGCGTAGCGAGAGAAGTTTGGTTAGCTCTTATGTTGTCCTAGTATTGACCTTGGCATAATAGAAATACATCGTCATGGTCAATACTAACCAAAAGATAAAGAAAAGATGCAAGTGTGACTTACGAAAGCACCGCTAATGAAAGACCTCGTTGAGTTCTTAAAGTGAATTAAGGAAAATGTACTCCTAAACGGATCAAGAAATAACTTTGTTTACATGACACAACCATATGAATGAAGTAAGTTATAAGTGTCTACTCATTTATAGGCTTTTTAAATAGTTGTCGAAATTATGACAGTAAAGTTCATGCCATATATTTCGAGGGGGAGAAATTTAAAGATCAATTAAGAAAGATACTCTTCATTAAGAGTGAGATAAATATTAATTAAGATGAATGTAACCATCGGAGGAGTACAACGGTCACAGCAATGATACCCTTAAGGAGAGAAATAGCTAAATTCCTGGACTTTTGAAAGTTCCGACGGGAAAATAGCATAGTCAGTCTTCAAAGATGTTAAGATGTTAATGGGTCTACAAGACAAAATGTGACTCCAAAGAGAATGTAGAAAGATATAAGATTACAATGAGAGTTTTATCTTCAGTCTTATGTAAGGATTCTTTTAAAATCATAATGGTGTTTAATGGCACATTATGATTTAGAGTTACATCAGATGGATGTAAAGACGACATTCCTCAACGGGGATTTATATGAAAACGTTTACATGACATAACCCAAAAGATTTTTGTCATGGAAGAAAAAGCGTATGGGATGCCGCCTATAGAAATCCATTTATGAGTTAAAAGTAAGTCTCTAGACAATAGTATTTGAAGTTGATGAAACGATAAAAAAGTTTGGGTTTTAAAGAAAATGAGAAGGATAATAGCGTTAATGCAAAGCTCAAGAATAGAAAAATCACTTTCCATATCCTGTGAATAGATGACATTCTACTCATTAGTAGTGATGTTAATCTATCACTAGAGAAGAAGTTTTGTCCTCAAGTTCCAATGTGAATGATCTTGGTGAAGCGTCATTGGTTCGAGGAATCGAAATTCACCGAGATAGAAGAAAATGGGGTATTAGGACTATCGCAAAGGCATACTTAGAAAAGAGTCTAAAGAAATAAAGTATGCATGCGAGTAAACCTACTCCTGCTCCTATAGTCAAGGGTAATAGATTTGGGAACTTTAAGTGTTCCAGGAACCGATATGAGATCGATCAAAAGAATATGGTTCCATATGCTTCAGCTGTTGAAAGCTTGATGTGTGTACAAGTATAACTAAGAACATACCCTGACGTAGTTTATGTATCTAGGATATTTTGGCAGAAGTTCAGTTCAGATATAGTTCACTGGAATTGAGTTGAGAATGTCTTGCAATTTAGCAAAGTATCATAGGCCTCATGCTGAGTAAGAAAGAATAAGTACTCTCTAATAGTTGAGGGTATAAAAGTTAAGTCTTGCCGAGATGTGTAGTGAAATCCACAGCAGTTGCTAACACTCGCAGTTGGAGTATTATTGTGGAAAAACTCCAAAGAAACAGTTGTGGTGTTATCAGTGATGCATACCATAGTATAGCTTGACATGAGGCTTAAGGAACAGGCAAAAGGAGGTTAAGGAATTTGTACCCGG